CAGAAAAAATAAAAATAATTCTGAAATAATTCTAAATTTTTTGGAAAGCTTAAGATAGATCTCACTATGAACTCAGAAGATAAAAAATAAAAACAAGCTGCTGCAATCTTTAAGAAACCTTGTGGGGGTGACTATAAACAGTTTGCAAATTTCTTCCCCCCCCCACAATCTTTGAATCAAATATTGTAACATTCTTGAAGCTGGTATAGCAGTTTGATGGATGACTTTGTAACAACTAATAACTTTTGAAGTTAGCTTGATCCACAGGCCTTTTGTCCCTGAACTGTGCAGAGTGCAAGCAGATTTTTGTAGCTTTCTCTGCAAAAACCAGTTTGTGAAAAAAAGTGTTCAATCTACCTGCTGGCCACTTGATAATTGAGAGGAGGCAAATTGTAAAACAGTGAAAACATTGAAGACCATTTGTAAATTATGTGTAATGATCATATCCACTATGAAATACAAAAGTCACAAATACTAATGAAGATACATATAAGAGTGCAGATAATTTAATTTATCCTTATGTAATATTGTGAGTTTTTTATTTATTTTTTAAATATTTAATCTGTTATTTTGATTAATTTTTCAACCATGGATAAATTTTTTGATCGAAATATGTTTTATTTAAATAATAATTAAAAAAAAAACATAAAAAAGATGCATGACTTCAACAAACGAATGAGATTTTGTTGAAGCAATTGAGACAGATTGAATGTAGTAGTCCAATTCTTAAAATTATGAAATAATAGACCATAAATTAATTAATTAGTCCCTCTTATTTTAAAAATAATTATTTAATTCTTATATTTATCAATTTTTTTTGCAACTTAATTCGTTCGTTCCTTGTCAATTTACTTTTATCTTTTATTTCAAGAGATAAAAATAGAAAAAAATAAGCAAAAATTTAATGAGAAAAAATATTTTTTTAAATAAAATAATATTATATTAACCATGATTAACACTAATGAAAAAATTAAATAATTATATTAAAAAATAATTAATTTATTTATTTCTCAAAATAGAGAGATTAATTTATAATTTACTCAATCATGTAGCAGAAAACTACATCATCATTTTTTATTTTTTTATTTTTGTAACCAGAAACTTACATCATCATGATTTTCTGGTTGTTGTGTGGAAACCTACCTAAAAAAACATCAAAGTTTTGTCTGACTCTGTTCGATGATTTCTTGATTCCAAGGGCTCTAAGGCCTTCATAGGTCCCTAGATTTGCAATTGCCATTGAAATGCCAAACCCATTTTGGCCCATTTCTCGCAATTTATTGCTCTTTATGTCCCTTCACTGCTGCTGCATGGAGTCAGGCACTACCCTACAGCTCTCTTTGCAGTCCTTCAATGGTTACGATTCAGTCTGATAATTTAATTGTTTTTTCTTGGGATACTTAAAAAACTTCTGACACAGAGCATTTAGAAGAAGGAAAAGTCCAAGAAATAAAAGAAACAAATCGTGGGGCTAATGGCTAGTCTTTTAACAGCATAGTACCTACTTAGGTTTGGTAAATGTCTCACGGTTGTGTCTTCTTGGGGGTAACTACAAATTGGCTCTCTAATTTTGATGGATATTTGAAATCAATCCCTAAAGTATAATGTTAAAGATGATTCTGAATTCTGTTTCAAAACTTTCTTGTCTTAAATATATTATTTATAAATTCAATGTAAATCACGTTTTACAAGAGCGAAGAAAAAAAATATTACCGCATTATGCCAAACAAGTAGGATGAATATTAGTTCAAATCAAAGAAGTGAAACCAAAAAAAAAAAACAAAAAAACTATGAAATAGTTGGATGTGAAACTGCAATAATAGTTAGTTTGAATACTTCTGTAGCATAAACATCATAATTTGAGGACTGATTTGTATATAGCAAAAACCCCTTGTCCTTTTTACTCTCGTGATGGAACGAAAACAGTGCATGAAAGAATTCAAACACTGGAACCTCTGCGGGATGTGAACAGGTTTCGCTCCATTTCCCCAAAAATATACACAAAAATATTTGAAAGTTGAAACCCTCACGTTCACAAATGACAAAACCGAAGCCAAAATAAAGACACTGTGCCTCTCTTTCTTCCCTTCCAAACAAACGCTACACTGCATTTGAGTAATGCCATTTTTAGCGCTCCTTACGATGCATTTACTTTGAATCCCTTCATCATTTTTCTCTTTTTCAGATCAGAGACAAAGACACCCAGATAGCTAGCTATAACGTAAGCAACATCAGTTTTCTGTTTTGTTTTGTGTGCTTTTGATGTTTGAATGTGCTTTTAGTTCTCTTTTGAGCCCAAAGTTCTAATCTTGGACTGTTTTCTGATGGTCTTGATCATAGCTTCTTGTTCTTGAACATCTTTGATTTGGGATTTTTGAATAAAAGACAAGTTGTGGTTTAATCAAGTTTTAATATTTTCTTCACACTTTCTTTTAAGCACTAATCTTAGTCGTTAATATTTGTTTAATCCAGTATTAAAACCCCCTTTCATTTCTTTAATCTTCTTTGGATGGTTCTAGCTACTATACTACCAGGGTTTAAGGCATCTGAGCAGGAATCCTGGTTCTTGTCGGTGGTTGATATGCATCGAAAGATCCCATTTTTGCGATTTGTTTAGTTTGGGAGATTAGTGTAAAGTTGTTAAATCCCATTAATCTTTATCATCAGTAGACCTGTTTTAGTTTGGGATTTTAGATTTCTTTGAGGAATGGAGCATGTTACCAATAAACTCTCTAAACCCTCTTCAAATATATCTGAAATGGTATCCAAATTTGCAAAAGTTTGCAAAATGAGATCCATTGGTGTCTTCTCTAATGACCACCAGTATCAGCACAACCTCACTGGAAACAATGATGGCTCATCGATGGGTGAAGATAGTAGTGATGCCACCGAGGAAACAGAATATGATGGTGAGAAAATCCATCCACAACCTGTTGTAGTTACAAGCAAAAGCAACATGTGTGGTGACAAGGATGTTTTAGAGTTGTTTGACACGGTTTCTGCCTTGAAATTAGCTTATGTTCAGCTCCAGGAAGCACATATTCCCTATGATCCGGATAAGATTGTGGCTGCGGATGAACTTGTGGTGGCTCGGCTTGAAGCACTTTGTAAGTTCAAGAAGGCATTTAAGGGGAAGCAATTTTCAAAAACCAAGCTTGATTCCTCTCGTTTTGATTGTCTACGATCAGAAATTGATGTTATTGAGAAGCTTGTAGAGAAACTGAAGACCCAGAATGGAGATAAAGATGCTGAGATTGGACGCCTGCGACAAGAACTCCAGGATTTGGATTTGGGGAATGCGTTATTGGTTGAGAAGATTAGGGAGAAAAGTTTGGAGAGAAAGAATGTGAGGGTTTTGAATATTGCCATGTTTGAGGACACCTTTAAAAGAGCTTCGAAGTCCATTCATGAATTTGCAAGGCCAATAATTAGCTTGATGCAAGCTTCAGGTTGGGACTTAAGCCTGGCAGCGAATTCAATTGAAAATGGGGTTGTTTATGCTAAAAGGTCAGATAAGAAGTACGCATTTGAAGCCTACATTGCACGAAGAATGTTTCATGAGATGTCACTTAAATACTATAATGTGGATGATGTTATGAGGTTTGATGATCCTATTGATTCTTTGATAGAAAATCCAAATTCAGAATTTGCCAATTTCTGCCGGAAAAAGTACATGTTCGTTGTTCACCCCATGATGGAGATGTCTTTCTTTCGGAATTTAGACCAGAGGATGTTCGTATTGAGCGGCAAGCATCCAAGGACTCCATTCTATCAAATATTTGTAAGAATGGCAAAGTGGGTTTGGATTCTACAAGGGATTGCGACCTCAATTGATCCCAATGCACAAATATTTTCTGTGAAAAGGGGAAGCAAATTCTCAGATGTTTACATGGAATCTGTTCAGGAGAACAAGGAAGCTGCAGTTGCGTCTGATGGAGGACAATCTAACTTCAAAGTGGAGTTTATGGTCATGCCTGGGTTCAGAATCGGTGGCACATTGGGAAAGTCTCGGGTTTATTTATCGGAAATGAAATAGCTTGTGGGAACGTGATAGATTGAGATGCTGCAGCTGACGGGTAACTTTCCAAAGCTGATCATCCTTTTGTTTTGATGATATCAATATCTAGGTTAAGTTAGTTGAGAATATTATAGCTCAGTACCTGTACTTCTTCTCAGTTGTTTTTGATATATCCATATATGCTGCAAGCTGGAAGAACATTATTGTATGCTTCTGCTTGAACTGTAAATAGATATCTACTTCATGATGCTAACGTATTTTTTACATTTTTTTTTTCTATTTTCTATTGAGTGATGTCATTATATTCGGCCGTTTCTTTATTGCTTATGAATTGAATGGACATTAGAGTTTAGATACATGTTGGTATATTTGGTCTATTTGCCTGCAAATTCCCGGTATCTTTGGGGTACGATTACGATTACGAACAAAGGTTGAATGCCATAATCTTTGTGTTGTGAGATCGTAGAAGCCCTGCTCTGTTTAGAACTATTTATATTGTGTAGAAATAAAGGTAGAAGTCCTTGGCAACTTGGTAGCTGTAGATGTTCCTGTCTTTTGATTGAGAGAGGCGCAACTGTTGGTTAAGTTTTAGGCTTCTCCATATCAAGGATTTCCATTCAAGCGGATCTATTATCTTAGTGATATAGAGGTGCATCGAACTCTAACTCATTTTTCCTTGTGGGTTTTCAAAGTTGTACTTAATCGATATGGAGAAAACAAAAATCAGTTGCTATAATTAACCTTGTAATTAGTAAGAAACATGTGCTTTTAAATTCTTTGGCATTCTCAAAGTTCACCTCTCTTCCTTTGCTTGATTTGCCACCTAACACTAAGGTGAAACAAGATACAACAATGGTATTTATTCCTTACATTATCTACTCACATTATAACTTGTCAACAGAGAAATTAGAGAAGGGACCACGGAGAGGACAAGGACTGTCTCTGCAGCTGCAAAGGAGGAATAGCAATGGTGGCTGCAGAATCATTTGGGAGAGTTGGAACTATCAGTGTAGGTGCTGTCGTCATCAGGAGAGAACAAGTCCTTGCATAGCTCTCCGTAGAATCTGCAGACCAAATCAATGAATACAGGACACTTCAGGTTTTTCCAGCAATACAAAAGCTCTTCCACATCCGCTAAATCCCTCACTTTTCCCTCGTCAACTATCATCTCCACCAAATAGTTCTCAAAACTTCTGCATGCATCTTCTACATCTTCATCACCAAAGGTTTGCCTTTTCATGGCCAAGCTGGCCTTGATGTAAGCTGGTGTAATCGGTGATGGAAAGAGCATTTTCTCACGCTCCCCTTCGGAGACACTCCTGAGTTCTGCAACTCTGTCCATCTTTCTCTACTTCCTAAAAGAACGAAAAAAACTAAAAACTCGACTCTTTGGAGGAGCTTTTCTGGGTTTCTTGTTGCGATGATGAAGTCGAAGACCTCTTATAAAGACAGGTCTTTTGAGCTTGAATCTGAAGAGTAGTAGCAGTTTCTTGCATGGACTGAAAAGCTTGGATCTGAAGACAAGTAATGCTTTCATTTTCATCTCTAATGATTGAAATCAGAGTGTTGTTGAAGAAACGGAGCAGAATGCTTGCTTTTATTGCTCTAATTAGTTTTTGAGGAAAAGGGTAGGAAAGACGTATTGTTGATCCACTAACGGTTGGTGTACCAGAGGGAGAGATTTTGTCTGAATATGGATATAATAAGAGCTTGGTTAAGCCCTTTATGCTTCTCTTTGCTATAATGGTAGGGTTCATGTCCTGAAGGAGGAAAGTGGCATCCCATGAAGTGAGACTGTATTTTGACAAGAATCCTGATACGTAGAAGATGTTTTACTTTGGGACCAAAGTTCCATTAAATTAAAAGTGGTCCTAATTTTTCCAGTTTGTGAGTAATCTACCAACCACATGCGATCCCATTTTAGCCTTCAGATTGCTAGCAAGGCCATGTAGTGGAAGGCAGGTTTAACCTCATCTTTGACAATATAATAATACAGTAGACTTAATGATTGATAAAGCTAAAGTTCTAAAACAACCTTGTCCTTGGTGGTTGGTGCTCTCTTTGGGCTAAACCCTAGTTCCTAGAGTCCGCCATAACCGTCACACTGAGACCCCAATTGCCTAACTCACAAAACCCATCTTCAATTTGGGCTGTACTTGTTCTGGTTTCATTCGCAGTCTGATTCTATCTAACCATGAAACCAACTTTTCTGTATTGTCTCGGCCTCTGAGTCCAGAAATACTTGGGCTGGATTGGAATCCAGAAGAGAAACACCAGCTGTGCAGTTGCTGCTCTTACCATGGTACAATGGATGTCAAAGCGGCAGTGCAACCAGCAACTCTAACCAAACTGAGGCTGTGTTTATTCAGGAATTTGTTTTCTCCATTTTTTTAAATTTTTTAATATTTGTTTCGTATTAAAAAAAAAATTTAACGAAAAATAATTTTCAATCAACGAAAAAATGATACAGTATTTTTTGAGTTAAAAAAGAGAAAAATATTTTCCTTCTCTTTCACAAGCTATCTCGTTCTTACATTACTTACTTCTCTTGATATATTTTAACAATTTATTTCTCTATCTCATTTTTATTTAAAATATACCAAATTAATTTTTTCTTATCAATTATTATTAATTATTTAATTAGTTTTTCTCTATTTCTACTAACATTTGATTTTTGGATTTATAAATACATTAAATATCCTTAAAAATCATTTTTAAACTTTAAAATTATTTTTATAATAAATATTTTAATAATTTATCTCTATTTTTGTTTACCATTATCCCAAACACCACCTAAACTATACTTAAATGACTGAAAATAATTATTATAAAATTGCAATCATTTGTGAAAATTTTGAAACTAATTAATTCATTAATAAATATATTATTTTTTCAATACTATTAATTTGTAACTAAATCAATAATTTGTGACTAATTTTAATTAGTTGTAAAATTTTGTTGGTAATTGTAGTCAATAATTAGTCACAAATTATTCTAACATTAATCTTTTGAAACTAAATGAATAATTATCTATAAATGATAATTAATAATTTATAAAACTATTTTTTAGACTAAATTATTAATTCAATTTTCTTAAAAAACGTTTTTTGTATTTCAGTTTTCTATACTAAACAAACACTATAAAATATTTTTCAGCAGTTTTTTCATGTAATTACCAAATGTTAAAAAATATTTTTTAAAAAAACAATTTTTTTAAAAATAGCTTCTTCAGAATTGATTTTCCTATAAAAATTCTTTCTCACCGTACATACGAAGCCTTAAAAAAAATTTGAAGAATGTCATAAACTTCCTATCCTTAAGCTCGACATTGGCTGTCAGGAACTTACTTAAAGTCCCAACAATTTTTCAATACAGATATGATCGTTAACATACATGATTTCTAAATTGTAAATATCAGATTCAATTCTGGAATCTAGATTACTTAGCCAGTACTAATCTTTTTCTTTGATTACAAATTATTGCTGACTGTAATTGGTCGTCATTAGCACAACCTAGTTTCTAAACTCAGTTAAAGTTTGATTAGGCTGGGATACAGGCTAGCCAGGATTAGGTGTGGCTCAAACAAATAATTACCTGGCCAGCATGTGATTGTCCCTAAATTATTCCTAATTTTACAGCAAATTAATCACTCAGTGGTTTTTAGCAAGACCTGCGATCACCTCCCTTTGCCTGTATTCCAATCAGAATTATCAGTGATTAAAAAGGAAGATTACACTATAAATATATCAATTTTTATTATTTTTTCAACCGAGTATATGAATTTTATTTTTATTTTTTTTAATAAATTAAGATTTTTAAAATTACCAATGAAGTATTTATGCCTAACTTTTGTCAATTGCTTCGTTATCTTATTACGTGTTCTTTGCCTTGCCTGTATTCGAAGTAGAATCCATGGGTGATCAAAAGGAAGAATTGCACTATAAATACATCAACTTTTAATGTTTTCTCAATTGAATATATAAACTTTAATTTTTTTCATTTAAATATATCAATTTTTTCAAAACTCGTCAATTAAATATTTTTATTTAATTTGTGTCAATTGTTTCGTTATTTGATGACGTGTTCTTTACCACAGTACAACTAAATTATAATTTTGTTCTTTAATTCTTAGAGAAAACTTTCTCTTTCAAATTATTTTGCAATTTTCTACTTTTTTTTAATATAAAGATAACTTAGGTATTCACTATACAAAAAGAGAAAAAAAAAAGCAAAATAGTTTGAGATAAAAAGTTTTCTCTATAAATGAAAAGACAAAATCCTAATTTAGTAGACTGGGGCAAAAGATACGTCATGAGATAGCCCATCAAAAGATAGAAATTTGACGAAAAATACTTGATTGATAGTTTTTAAAAAATTAACATACTCAAACAAAATAAATTAAAGTTCACGTATTCGATCAAAAAAACGTTAAGAATTGACGTACTTATAATGCCATGTTTTCCCATGAAGTTTGAGGAAATGCAGTTTCATCTTGAGCTGGGAAAAGAGAAGTGGAAAAACCTATAAAGCGTTTTGTAGGGGACCAGAAACTGAATGTGCAGTCCCAGTCAAGTGGGACAGTTGAGGCATTAAGCAGTTGAAAAGGCACGGAATATCATCATTTGTGAGACATGGGATTATGGGAAAGAAAAGAACACAGCACTTAGTAGACATATGGGCCTTGATGAATGCTGAAAAATCATCATTACCCTCTCTTAATCCTTGCTTTGGCTAAGCAAAAGATGAGGCCCCAGATGAGTTGTTTTGACAAATCTTCAAGTTCCAGCAATATATTGGCTGCTGGTCACGGGAATGTATAGAAAATGCTATGAGTGATTGACAGGGCAATGTTTTCAGGCCCTAAGTTTCTCGTAGTAAAGTCAAATTTAGGAGATGATTATGCATAACAAATCCTGATTATGTTTATGTAACCCAAAACGAAAAATCTGGTTATGATGAAAGAAGAACACTCCTTGCTTTCATGCTGAAGTTTAGTCCAGTGAGCCCCACGTTTTCTTACCTTTTATAACCCAAACATTGCAAGCTCTTTATATCTTTTAAGGTTTCAGAGAGAAGGGAAAGGTAAACCAGCTCAGACAATCTCAGGGAGGGAAAGAAAAATGGGGAATTACAGGTTCAGATTGTCAGATATGATACCAAATGCCTGGTTTTACAAGCTCAAGGACATGAGCAAAAGCAGAAAGAAGTACACCTCACAAGCTTTCAAGAAAAAACCACCTCCAGGAACTGTGGCATCACAAAAACCCAACATTTCTCATCAAAGATACTCTTATTACTTCACCACAGAACCTGGCAGAGCTGAGAAATTCCATTACAATTCACCTGTAAATCCAAAAGCCTCAGATACTCACTTCCCTGATCATCCACCGAGAAAATCATCCAATAAAAGGAGTAAAAGAAAAACCATTTACAAGCCTTCCCCAAAACTGGCCTCCACATTCTCTGCTGATTGTAGCTGTCGCGTTACGGTTAACTCAAACCTGACCAAGTCTATTCCCGGTGATTCACCTGATGACTACTGTAGCTCTCCTGTTGAGAGCTCCTGTGATGAGCTGGACTTCCCATCGGAATCTGATGAAGATGATGGTTTTCTTGTTCCTGATTCAATGGATCATCAATTAGCTTCCTGGTCTAGCTCTTGTAACTGTAATGTTAGTTCTTCAACCGCTGACATTATAATTGATATGAATGAAGGATCCTATGAAAGGAAAATCAAGGAGGTTGAAGGGTTTGGCAGGATCGCTGAGCGAGAGCTTCCTCCTATACTGACCAAGCCTGAAAAGTTCAACGACAAATCGACTGAAGTTACTAAGTTCAGAAGAAATTCATCTAAATTGGAGGAGGTCAAAGCACATAGGTCTCTCTCTGTCAAGATTGTCAAGGAGGAAAGCATTAGGACTCATAAAGAGCAAAAGATCAATCCTTCTACAAGAAAGTCAGCGAATTCGACAGGGATAAAACTCCGCGCAAATACTCCAAGAATTGCAATCAGGAAAATTCAGGCTTGTGCTCGAAAAAGTGTGTCATTGCCAAGAAACAAGACCCTTTCAGAGAGTTTTGCAGTGACTAAGTCCTCAGTTGATCCACAGAGAGACTTCAAGGATTCAATGATGGAGATGATTGTGGAGAACAATATCTGGGATTCAAAGGATTTGGAAGACCTTCTTGCTTGTTACCTTTCACTAAATTCAAAAGAATATCATCATCTCATTGTTAAGGCATTTGAGCAAATCTGGTTTGACATGACTGACCTTCACTTGTAATTCTAAACCGTTGTTAGATTATCAGATGCATGAATAATATGATCCTGTAAATGTTAGTGGTTTAATCAGAACTTCTCTTCTCAGAATTCTTGGTTCAACCATGGAGAATTTATTCAATTTTTTTAAGGAATTTATACCAGGAAAATGTACCTCAAAAATCTTTGATTCCTTCTCTACAGGGGAATTCTCAGTTACTAAGTCCATTCAAAACCATTAAGTCCATAACTGACAATAAAGCCTGAGCTCTGTTTCTGTCAGAGAAAAACCAAAAAGAAATTTGACATCTGTCACCATCTCCACCTTCTTGACATCAGATTTTCTGAAGAAAACAATGAGTTGAAATGCAGGCTAATGGATCATGATGAAGGACTAAGCCAGCATGAGAAATGTTATGATTGCCAACTGCATGAGCATAAGCTCATGAGTTTGAGACAAGGTGGAGGCAAATGTTGACTTGGAATGGACAGGACTTCTACATGCATGGATTGCATTAAACAAGATCAATTGAGTTAGGTCAGTCTGTGTTTTGGTGAAGAATACCTTAATAATTAACATAAGCAAAACCTCTACCATGCTATCAGACACAATTAACACCATTGACTTGATCACTAACGTCCACAGCCGTAAACAGTATAAAATCTCCATACTTGACTTGCCATTGCTTTCATGAACAGGTCAAGACGGAAAGGATCATGTGCCGATTTTCGGTATCGGAAAAAGTTTTAACTGAAGAAAAGAATTATTAGAATCCTATCACATACAGGTAGTCGTGTGCCTTCGTCATTTTTTGTTATAGAATGGAAGCACCGACGTTTTCACTAATGCAGCAATTATTGCAACCTTTTAGCAGAAAGTTGCTTCACAGCCAATATCTAGTAAAACAGGACCACCAGTTTTTCACCTCTACAATTTCTTATGTTACCTTTCGTAGGTACAGAATGGCCACTTTGGTTATAAGTTTCCATCTCCATCCCTTTATTGTTTAATTATATGCTGCTGAAATTGGTGTTTCTTGGAAAAGTAGAATTGGTACATGAGGATGGCTGAGAGCTGTAGGCCGGCTGGTTGATTGGTCTGTATATTTGTTAAAGACTTTTAAGCTCTGAAAACATCTTGAAATTAACGAAAACTATAGTTTGATCATTTTCTGCAGATAAAACTAAAAGCTGGCAAAAGGGCATGCACTATATATCCAAATATAACACAGATGCATTTTTTCTCAATAGAATTATGGTCATTTTCCCAACTTTTGGGTTGGTGACGGTGAGTGGTGATAGCCCTAGCAGCAGTAACTACCCTTCAAAAATTCTCTAGGTTTCTAAGCTAATTTACCATCTCTTACTGCTCGTTTTTGACATGTGCTGAATGGCTAGTCCCATCAGAAAAACAGAGAACTGGACGGTCTGGACAAGAATAGTTTGCTGTTTTTATCAGAAAATAAGCAAGATAGTAAATTTAGGTCAGTATGTGTAGCAGCGGCTGCGTAAACTGTGAAATTGAAAGGTAAAAAGTAAATTAGTAATGATTTCTTTTGTTTTCCAAAACCCGACTTGACAATGAAACTACATTTATTAACCCAATCCAGGACAGCAAGCTCTATAGTTCTCCCAGAAACTAAATCATGAGAGAGGCCTAGGACAGCTGAGGATCTGTCAGCTGAGGAAGGTCTGAACTGTTATGATTCACCTTCAGGGACCACTAGATCATCACATACCAGGTATGTGATGTGAAGGAAGCTATGAGGACCACATGACGGCTCGGTACGGTGGAATTGTGGATAGCCTAACTGTCCAGTAGCCCTTAGCGAGACTTATCCATCATTGCACACTTGATGAGTCTCTTTTGATGCAAAACCACCTCCTCTGGACTTGTTGCTTTCATACATAACTTAGGGACTTAAATTTTCCAACCCCTCGATCAGATCCTGTTGGATTAAAGCTATGAAACAATAGAGAAGTATTTGCTGCCACCAACTTGTACCAAAAGTTAGAAACCTTGAGAGAAGTGCTCTTCTTCAAAATGAACCTTTTGAGAAAACGTGGGAGCATCATAATTAAGACAGGATCTACCCAGTAAAACTTTATGGCAAACAATTGGGCACTGCAGATGGTGCACAAAAGCGAAATCTCTACAGTCTTCAGTTAATGTTTTGCAATTATGGACCTAAAGAACACAGCATGCTATACTGCATTATTTGGTTTCTGTGATGCCTTGCTTCCACTTGTTTCGCGATATTGACAAAATATATGATTTCCAGCATGCAATCCATAACTATTGACAACATGATTATTGCATTATCAGATTGTGTAGAGCAAACCATATGATTGAAACCGTTGTTGCTTTTACTCTTGTCAAATTTCCAGTCTCAGGATCTCCCCTTTTCAGGTTTACCCCTAAAATGAAGATTTTTACTAGCAGGCTTCCTGAAACATTTTCATATTGGGTTTTACATGTGAAAAATTGGAAGCAAGAGTTCAATAAAAAGCAGAACTTTGAATTTAAATGCATAATGTTAGCCCGTGGCTGAAAGCAACAATACTTTATTGCAGATACAAGCTGGTTTCAAACAGCACAAACCATTTAAATACATATTTACACTGAATGTATCTAGCACTCTACCTTTAACCTCAGAATTCCCAATACTAACTGACATGGATGCCCAAGAAAGCTTCCTCATAAGTTTTTGTACAGTTACCGCGCAAGGGGTAATTTAGCTGGTGGATGAAGTGTTTTCTTTGTAGCTCATTCTACAGGAACAAGATCATCAACTCTCTTATTCATTTTTGATGTACACAAAGGCTAATTTTTAGTTTATTCTGCTCGAAATCCGTTGTGAAGGCTTTTTGCAAACCTCAGTAGGTGCCTGAAAACCAACATGTTCTACATCTCCTACTGTCTTGGACAAACGTCTCTTGTGCACTTCTTCCACCAACGATCGGTGCAGAAACTGGCTACGAATATCTACGAATGACCGGTTCCTTGTTAATCTACGACTGTCCATCATCCTTTTGCTTTTAGAGCTAGAAGTTCTACTTTGTGATTCCAGCAGAACCTTGCAGTTGTTGTAGGCATTTGCAGCAAGTACCTCCCCAATATTAGAATTTGAATTGTCCCGAGGACAGAATCTTGTTGAATTTTGAGTCCTTGTGATCTGATGTTTATCTCTCCTTGTTGAGCTTAAATCAAACTTGTGCTCATCGCCACAGACGTAGTTCAAGCAAGAATATGATCCTGAGTGTGAAGAGCTTTGAGAGCTGGTATCATCAAACAAATCATCTGCAACAGCAATTGTTTCCAATTGATTTTGTGGCTTTGAAATGTTAACCTAAGACCCAGCATGCATATCCAGATTTAACTGGTTATTCTATTTGCCAATCTGAAGGAACATGGGATACCTAGGACCTAGGTTGTTCTGTCTGAAGTCTCTAATTGATCCTATACCAATTCTTTTGGGAAGCTTTGATTAGCATTTCCAAGCTACCATGTTTCTTTAAAGAAGAGAGAAATGATCTTTGACTCTAGCTTTCCAAACGTTTCCCAAATTCTAAAAAAAGAAATTACTTTGGATAAAAGGAAGATATTCCTACTTAGTTTTGACGAAAATCGGGGCCAGTAGATAGATCGAAGAAACCAAAGTCGAGCACTCACTAACTGGTTCTTTCATTAGGTTACTCATGCATGGTTCAAATAGGAAGCTAAGTGACTGGTAATGACACCGAAACAACAAACAGTTAACTTTGATGCATCATGGGAGACATACCTTGGATCAAATGTGGCATTAATCCTGATAGGGATGCAGGAGATGATGAACATGAGGAGGAAGAGTGGAAAGGATGGTTATGCCCATCATCTTCTCGGTAATCAAATATATGGCGGGATTCAAAATGAGGTAAGTCCCATTTCTTCCAATTCGGCAATAGAGCTGAAATCGCCCCGTCAATCATATCAGCAATTTCAAACGGTTCCCAGTCATGTATCTCAAGCTCCTTGACCATCTCCATTGCAACATCAATCGGTGTATCATGTAAAATGTCGAAAGGAAAAAATATGTTCCTAGGAGTTCCTGCAAGAAAACATTGAAAGGAAAGCACCTGAGGTTCATGCTTATCCACAAATATTGGCCAGTTAACCAAGCTCATGAAATTCACACTGACATTAGTATGGCAGAATGTATGTAGATTATTTTTTTCAGAAACGAACAAACAATTCCTGAAGAACAAATCTTTAAAACATTTGCATAAAGAGAGATGATCGGAACCTTACCATCTTCATTAGCAATTTGCACTTTAAGAAAGATGGTATCATCTTCAGGGTTCAGCTTCCCTGTAATCGTCATGTCTGTCCTTGGGGGATGATCATTCAGTTGCAGTTTCTCTATTTCCCTGTCATTCAAAAATGGCTTCTGATTTCTGAACCTTGGAACATTTAACGGTTCAGCTTCATCAGATGCAAGAAACGGATCGAGCAGCAGCTCTTTCGCGGACAATCTCTTTGAAGCAGTTACTAAACATTTTCCAATAAACCGCTGAGCTTCCAAGTCTTGAATCCGGTAGAAAACTGCCGGCAACTTCCCCTGCACAACAAAATATTATGCAGGTCATACTCTAGCTCACCAGAAATAATGAATCTTAATACGAAACCAGACTTTACCGATGTGACTTTCTTGTAAATTTGCGCTGGATTAGAACATTCACTGTAAGGGTATTCGGCTGTGAGCATCTCTAACACACACATGCCAAATGAGTAGACATCAACTAGTTCATTGTAATCCTCCTCATATAGTTCTGGCGCCATGAACTCTGGAGTGCCTAACAATGGCTACCAAATCTTAGTAATGAAGGGAACAGACGTCGATCTATGCATTAATGAAGGGGAAAATGAGTACCTATAACACTGTGTGCTGATTGCGAACCCCGGAGAATTGCTGCAAGGCCTAGATCACCAATCTTGACCTGTCCAAGATGGCCATTGACAAAGATATTGTCACATTTTAGGTCTCGATGAATTACCGGAGGATCATGGCCATGTAAATACACGATGCCCTCTAAGATTTGTCGAGCCCATTTCTTGATGGCTCGGATGTTCACACGGTTATATTTTTTGCGGTATCTGCCAAATAGCAGATAGTTATTACATTATGGCATAAAATATATACATCAGGTTAAAGAATCTAATCTTCCATTAGGCAGAAAATTACTCTCTGAGAGTTCCTGAAGTAAACATTTCAGTGATGAAGTTAAAGGTCTTTCGACGAACATCAATCCAAGAGGTGTAAAATTTGATGATAGAGTCATGACTGAGGGTGCTGAGCAGATGAACTTCTGAGTAAAGCCTCTGCAAATCATCTGGTGAGCAAAGCACCTTATTGAGTTTGACCTGGTTCCATGCCACCTCTATTCCCAGAAATTCATCTATTGCCTTGTACACCGTTTTCATTGCTCCTTTGCCAAGAACTTCTTCAAACTATTCATGTAAAACACATCCAATTCTTGTCATAAGAACTTCTTCAAATTATTCATCAGAATCATTCATATTTTCCATTCTAAAGGTATAGCATACAAAAAAGTTTTTGCACAAATTTGTTTAATTAACTGATAATCCAATAAGCATCACCAATTGTTTAGATAATAAATCATCAATTTCTGGGAATTACTAAAACCAGACATTTTAACATAAACAAAGATTAATAGGACAGTGACTTCCCAGCTTAAACAAAAGAAGGTTTACCTATTAAAATATTGAGATTCATGTACTGACATGGTAAACATGTACGTGTGACAACTAAAACAATTCATTACTCTTTACAATCATGTCGAACCTCTTCAAACTTTTAAATAATAAAACCAATCACTAATCCTAGTTGGCCTAAATTAAACCTAAGTTTTTGTTCATGAAACTGGACAGGATAGAACATGGCAACTTCACTTATATTGATCTGTCAGGTGTTTTTTGATCCCATCACATGAACAATCTTATCTTGTCCAGTCCAATCTAGCCCCATCATGCCAAAGAGACCCTAAATTGTGAATCATGGTAATATCTGGCGAAGGTACAACCAGTAGACCTTTAACCTCCTATTCGATGCTATGAGAATCAATGCAACGTGTAAAACTAAATGCTATAAGATAAGAACAAAAGAGATGCTTGAAGACAGAAAATATATATATATATATATACGTGTAGAATAGGCGTGATGATCTAAAGGGCTAAAACTTACCCGACCATACCGCCCTGTAGGATCAGTCTCAGCATAGCCATGATCAGCTTTGGTTTCATCGAGAGCATGCGCTTCAACTTGCTTTCTATACATGCTTATTCTGTAGCCAAAACTTCTGCGAACTTTATGTAAAGATATGGGGGAAAAAAAGAGAAAAAGACGACACGTGGGATTTTTGGACGTGCGTAGGTAGAGAGAGCTAGCTAGCTAACTAATTTTAAGCAAAAGATATTAATTGTGCCCTAAATCCGAGGCTTTCCTTCATGATTTTCATAAGAGAAAACACCAAAGAGAAGCCAGAAGAGTCTTGAGTAGTCTATCCTTAGCATGATCCAAGCCATCTCTACAAACCCACTTGAAACTAATAAGTCGTACTTCTTAGCAACCATTTGGAGTCAAAAAAAACGAAAAAGCCAAAGATAAATATTGGTTTTGTCAAGAGAATATCGAAGGAAGTGATGGAAAACGTTGTTGTTGTTGTCTGTTTCTGTTGAGGGTGGAAAAGCAAATATTATTTGCAAACTAGGATACTAGTATACGCAAACTATAGATATATCTATCACTCAAAGAATTATGCAAGAATTATGGGATGCATAAGAAAGCGATGGAATTCTGAATTTGAAGAATCTGGGGCCATGTTTTGTTGGAGACATTTGTGGATCATAAAGAGACCACGAGATGAAAGATGATTATGAATCTGTGAGAGAGAAGTTTTGGGAAAAGAGTTTGAAAAGCTAGCCAAAATGCAAAAATGTTCTATAGGAGATGGTTGTGATTGCAACTTCTTCACAAAAGGCGATGAATAAATAAGGAGAAAGTAGGTGAGTAAAGACGAAACTATACGGAAATGTGTAAGCCTTGGGGCCTATCGATGATGATCTTACATGAATGAAGTTGACAGCTTGTGGAAGGCATGCAATGTACAAGTGCCCAAGCTCGGGATTGGCAGAAGAAGACTCATTCAACGTTAGGTTAATTTTATATTTTTATCGTGTGGTATTTTTTTTTATCAATACAATATAGGGTAAATAGGTGAATAATTTTTTATATAATAGTTTAAGTTTGTAATTTATCTTGACATTTCTAGTTGCATTCATTATATTTCTAAATATTATGTTAGTTTTCAAATTATCTTTTCGATTAATTTCTTTTCGACTATGAATAAATTATTTGACCGAAAACTAAAATGTTAAAAAAAAAAAAACCATGATTTATGCATTCCAATTTTAAAGTTTTTAAACCTTTTCTTTTTGTTTGTTTGCATTTTGGTCAAAAATTTACTTATAATAATAATAAATAAAAAAAAACTAATCGAAATGATACATACAAAACTTAAATATTATTTAAAAACATAATAAATATAATTAAAAATATAAAAAATTAAAAACTCAAACTATTATATAACTACTGATCTATTTATCCTATATATAATATATTACTTGCGTGGATTAACTCTATTCGTACAAAATTTTAAATTCTAGTTTTAATATAATATTATATTTTTTGTCTAGTATTTATACGTAATCAACCCATCTGTAAACCCTTTTTTTTAAAAAAAAAAAAAAAAAAAAAAAAGGGAACAAGGAAAGTGATATCGGTGGGCATCAAATTATATATTTTGTTGCTTCTTCTTGTGTAGTTGAGAATCGTGAAGGACGAAGATTCATCCTCCTCATAATTGATGAGGATGTCAAGCTTGACTTTGATGCTATGGCAACAGAAAAGACCACACAACGCAAATCCATGATCCATTTTTTTTGCTGCCACATGTTCAGATATGCACGTTTTGGCTTGTTTGGATTATATGCATGATATTTTGTTTTAAAACAAAAAATCCTAGAAAACCTCAAATAAGCACCCAGATATATAAAGGGATTCTCAATTAAATCCTCAAAAAAAAAAAAATTCAGTTGAATTTTCAAAGATTCAGAAATTTCTTAATTGATAGCCCCTTGTCCATACCTGTTAATGGATCTTTTAATCCAAATTATACATTTATGAACAAAAAATTATGTTTTCTATAGGACATTAGTGTTTGACGTTTTTTGTTAAAAATTTGTGAAAATTTTTGAACGAATAACTCACTTGAAAAAAAAAAAACAATTGACATTTGAGTTAGAGATGGGGTACTAATTTGAGGGATGCCCAAAAATTAATTAGAAGGTCCTCTGAATTGTAAATTATACAATTAAAAAAAAAAAAAGTGTTCATCCTCTTTTTTATGATGTTAGGTATAACCAATTACTTAAACTAATGATAGATTATGTACTCGATCTTTTCCTATGATTATATACATATGATATATATATATATATATGAAAGACAAATTTGATAAGCAAATTAAGTTAACCCTAGTTGATTAAGATCATTAATGGTACGTTATTAATTAGAAAAAAGCATATAAAACCTATAAACCATCATATAGGTGTATCTTTTTATATTAATTAAATTAAATGTTATTCTGGCTAATACTATGGGTCATTTTCAATTAGTTGACTATATCTAATCCATAGTTTTATAATTTTAATACTCCTCAATAACAAGTTTATTGAAAACCGTAACCAAAAAAAAAAAAAAACCCTTAGTCATAGAAACTCTAATAGACAGCTTGAGACTCTTGTTAGATGACATTTGTGAAATTGTGTTCTCTAAAAATGAGACGCTTGTAATTTTTTAAGATTTTTATCGTTAGAAAAAAGAAAGAAAAGAAAAGAAACTTCATCAAAGTTCCACGTTGGTTTTTTTTATTCTTTTTTATTTGAGATAGTGACAAAAACTTTGTGTTAAAATTCTAAACTTTATTTTCCTTTATCACCTTTTTTTTATAAAAAAAATGTTGTATATGATTGTTAGGATTGGATAAGTTGGACTGGTTTTAATGCATTTGTTTGGCCTGCATATGGTGTAGGTTTAGATACATATTATTTTATCTCTCTCCTTATTTTTTTTATTATTACATTGAAGCATTTGGTTTGTTTGGTTTGCATTAGATGTAGAATACTAATATGTCTTAATAAGTATGTGTTTAGTTTTAGCTTACTATTCCGGAAAATCATGAACTATACACGTTTTGATGATGTCAACTCTTTCTTTAAAAATTATATAAAAAGGTCACCAACTAAGCATTCGATAACAATACTAAGTACTTATCTAATTTTTTGATCAAAATTTCAAACAACACCGACATGACAGATGACGAAGCATGACATATGAACTTTACCAAACCATGTAGGATCCACATAATCATGACATGTGGACTTTAGCAAACCACGTAGAATCCACATAATTGATTTTTTATACGTTGGTTAATAAATAGTCTCTCTAATAATCAATCACTTCTCCAAATATGAATTAAGGATTCAATAAGAAAAAAAATGTACAAATATCATTTTTCTTCTTGATTGGTACCTTAATAATCTTGATAGTAATGAGCCATTTTGTCTCAATGCTAAGGTTTTAGCTTAGCCACCCATCTTAATTTTTTTAAAATTATAAATTAGTCCCTCTAATTTCAATAAACAGATTAATTAGTCTCTCTTGTTTTAAAAATTAATTATTTAGTTTCTTAAACAATATTAACTATGCTTTATTTAATATTACTTTATTTCAAAAAATATTTTTTTTATCAATCTTTGCATGATATCTTTTTATTTCCTTCAATCTTTTTTATTTATAAAAAACATCAAATAAATAAATATTTTTTAAAACATATGGACTAATTAATTTGTTTATGAAAATTACAAAGACTAATTTATAATTTACTCTCAACTAAGGACATGCCCATAATAAATGTTGTCTATGATTGTTAGGGTTGGATAAATTGGATTGGTTTTAATGCATTTGTTTGGTCCGCATATGGTGTAGGTTTAAATACATATTATTTTATCTAATACATCTTAAGAAATATGTGTTTAGTTTTGACTTAATGTTCTAGAAAATCACAAACTATACATATTTTAATGATTTTAACTCGTTTTTTAAAAATTATATAAAAAGTTTATCAACTAAGCTTTTAATAGTAATACTAGCACCGATATGATTTTTTGATCAAAATTTCAAACAACGTTAACATGGTTGGTGACTAAGCATGACACATAGACTTTAGCAAGCCACGTAGGATTCACATAATCAATTTTTCATGTCACTTCTTACGTGGATCCGACGTGACTTGCTAAACTCCATGTGTCATATTTATGTGGATTGCCATATCGGCGTTGTTCGAAATTTTAGTTGAAAAATTAGATCTATTCCGTTATTATTATCGAAGTATAGTTGGTAACCTTTCTATATAATTTTTAAAGAACAAGTTAAAATCATTAAAAAGTGTATGGTTCGTAATTTTCCGAAACATTAAGCCTTTAGTTTTTGTAGATGAAAGCAAATAATATTTCCTTTAAGGATTAAACTTTTATTTTAAGGAAGTGGACCATATGTATAGTCCTTTAAAGTATAGGAAGGAAACTTTCCACTAAGAGAAAAGTTAAATATTTTAAGCAAATAGTTTCAAGTTTGATTCCTTATATATGTAAAAAAACTCCCCGAGTAGCTATCTTTATTTTGTATGCTTGAGTGAACAATGAGGAATGAATTTGGGTTTTTAGACTTAGGATACATTGAGGGATCCAATATATATATATATATATAATGTTAAACAAAAAAAATTAGGGAGAACGATATTTTCTTTCATATTTTTTGGATTTAAATTGAAATTTATTATGGGAAGAGAGGGGATGGTTTTCTCTTTTTTCAACTTTAGGTACCAAGGCCGCCTCCATCTTGTTCAAGCAATAAGTGAGTTTATTTGTCATATCATCATTCTAAATTTTTATCCATAAATATATCATAGAATAAATAAAAAATTATTATGAATGATTTTTTGGAATTCAAATATGCCCTGCAAAAAGCACATTCAACGAAATAAATACTTAATACAAAAAACACATCTATAAATAGTCTTGATATTAAAATTAAAAAAAAAAAAAGATAAAAAAATGAGAAGAATCAATCACATCTCCAAATATCAATTAAGGATTCAATAAAAAAAATGTACAAATATCATTCTTTTTCTTGATTGGCATCTTAATAATCTTGATAATAATGGGCCATATAAGCTAATTTGTCTCAATGCTAAGGTTTTAGCTTAGCCGCCCATCTCAATTTTTTGTAAATTATAAATTAGTCCCTCCCAAATAAAAAGATTAATTAGTCTCTCTTGTTTTAAAAATTAATTATTTAGTTTCTTAATCAATATTAACCGTGCTTTATTTAATATTACTTTATTTCAAAAAAAAAAAACATTTTTTTCTTATCAATCTTTGTATGATCTCTTTTTCTTTCTTTTTCTCTTTTTTATTTAGAAAAAACATCAAATAAATAAATAAATAGTTTTTAAAACATAGGGACTAATTAATTTGTTTATGAAAACTACAAAGACTATTTATAATTTACTCTCAACTAAGTACTTCTCCACAATCTCATTCAGCAAACTACTTTAGTGAGGATTGACAAAAGGCCATGGCCTCTCGTTTTCGAAATTTCAATAATCTTTTCAATTGCTAGACAGAAACAATCCTCTTTCAACTTTTAATAGTTTATTCTTATCCTCTATTTCTTAATAGTTCTTGTGATCATTGTCTTTTAATAATTGCTCTTCCTATTTGATGCTTTGACGTCAACTTCATTGTCTTTGTCTCTTAATTATATCTTAATTAATTTGATTAATTAAATAAAATATTTTAATTAAAAGTGTGATTGACCATATCTCTGCCTACCACTTACACTCGTCTTTTTTTTACCTTTTCCTTCTCACATCATTTTCCACATGCATGTGAATGGTGTTTACAATTCCTATTTGAATTTGGTTCCTCCAATTGTTTATTGTTGAAAAAAATAAAAATATTTCATTTGTTCCACATTGAAAATGAAATATGGAGTGTTTGCTACTATGTATTTTGTATATGTTTTTTTAATTATAATTGTTTGAAAGTTGATATATGTATAGTAATTCGCTAGTAAATTATATTTATAGTTGTATGTGTGTGATTTATTTATTTAGTTTTCAAAAAAAATATTTTATTTATTCCGTATTGGGAATATACAAGTGTGTTGAATGTTATAAGTACGTTGTATATATATACTTAAAGAAATTTATGAAAAAATAATTTTCGTTAAATGTATCGATATGATTTGCATAAAATTCAATTAAAAAGAAAACTTTCTCCTAATATACGAAAAGTAATATGATAATTTTTTTATATAATTAAAAATACTCTGTTTGGCTTTGAAAAAAAAATCAAAGGAGAAAAGCAAACAACATGACTTAATTGTAGCCTAAAATTCTAATTAGTACTGATTGAAGCCATTATCCTGCATTATTGGATAATTGTCAACGATTCCCAACATGTGTACTCCATAATCATTTCATTTAGTTATTGGAATTTTACCAATTACATAAACTTTCCTCTTTGATCCATTAACTTTTTAATTTTTTTATTCTTTTTCGTGTTGATTAATTTTATCTACCGTTAATTTTGTTAGGTAGAGATCCTTCTTTCATAATTTCACGAGTTACCATGCGTACGTGACACTTTACTATTAAAATAACTCTTTTATTTCTGAAATTATGTAATTAAATAAATAAGAAAACATAAAATATATACATAAAGAATTAATTTACTTAATTAATTAGGTTAGTTTAGATTTTTTTCTTTAGTCAATTTACTTTATTCTGATAATTTAATTTTCACTCCTAGCATTCAACTTAGTACTCTAACATAAAGGTGTCATATAGGTATACGAACTTATGGTGTAAAACAAAAGAAGTAAAAAACTTAATTAATATAAAAAAGAATTTAAAAGCATATAGAAGCCAAATATAGATAAAACCCACAAGATAACCTATTCGAGCACAAGTTGGAATTATTGTACCATGCATTATTGCTTGAATATCTAGCAAGCGTGCTAAAAAGATTAGCATAGCAGCCACCACCAAGAAATAATTCAAGCTCCTTCTAATTCTTTTTTTTTTTCTTTTACAAAAAAAAAATATTTTCAAATTAAATTAAACATCAACAAAAGCTATATTTATTTTCAAATAATTTTAATAATACACAATCTTAGTATCACCTAGTGTATTCACAAGGAGAATAAATTTTTATGAACACTAATTTTGTTACTCAAAATGATCGAAAAATTACTTAAAATGATTGACTTAAGTGAAATAAGTTCTAATCGTTTAAATAAGTGATCTCGAATTCGAGTTTTTATATATATAAAAAACTCTTTAAATAGTTATTTTTGTCTTATGCATTCGATAGAACAACGAAGAATTAGCACCGAAGGATCCAAAAAAAAATAATAATGAAAAAATTAATGAAAATAACAAATCTCATTCACCATCAAACTTATCCCGACCTAAACACTCTTGTCACTTGCGACAAAATCTTTTGCTCTATAAATACTCTCTTTAAAATACACATTTATTCCTCAAAAATATATGAATTGTTTAGTACTTCCAATAAATTATATGTTCATTGCTTTCACATTTACGAGGAAGTCATATAAATATAAAATAAAATTTTCTGATCAGCCCTCTCACATGTAAAATACTATTGAAGAACAGAGACTAGCCAAGAAAAATATTACAAAATCCACGTGTTGATAACGAAATGACAGATTAAATGTATCTAGCTAGGCAGCCATTAGCTAGTGACTTGGATTGAATGAAGAAAGGCACAGGACATGTTACTTGTTGCCAGTTGCCACCAAGAAAGACTTTCTTTGTTTCATTTCCATGGGAGTGAGGGCGACACAGGGCCACAGCACAGTGATGGCTTGAGACAGAGCCCACCACCAACTAGTGTGGTTCCTTGAAGATGATGGATGTGGTTCCTTGAAGATGATGGATGGGTGGAGAATCAAGTCATTCATGGAGGTTTTCATGACAAGTATGATTATGGAATCAATAATAGATGATAATATTCCTTCCCTTCTAAAAAAAAATTATCTTTTTTTTCTTTATATTTGTTTTAAAATATTTATCTAATCAAAATTTTAAGTGGTATATTTTTTTATAAAATATTCCTAATTAAAATTCTTCTTATTACGAATAAATATTCTAACCAAAAAAAAATACTAGTAAAAAAATTCGGTAAACAAGTATATTTTTATATCGTGGCTCTTAAAAGTGAAAATGAAATTGATTTATAAAGTAGTTTTGCATTATCTTTAATGCAAGAATGGAGGGCTAGAAATTAAAGCTAATTATGTGTAGCTTTAAAGCCATACAATGTGAGAGACACACCTTTTGTGGTTATGAAATCCATTGTTTCTAGAGAAAAATGATAGGAATGAGATGAGAAATTTATAATATTTGATAAAGAACTAGTATATATGTATAGTAATTACTCCATAAATTTAATTTTCATGAATGAGATAGACGCATAAAAAAATAATAATAAATAAATAAGAGAATCACATTCGAACCTATTGAAAGCGATAAAAAGATTTTTAACTTGACTCAATTTTTTCATTTTCTTTTTATTTTTTTGTCTATCTTTTTTTATGGCATAAGTTATATTCTTACTTTTTGAGTATCATAAAATTTCCTTGGATGAGAATGGTGTAGTGGCAATCCTTACATTATTTTTATTGGTAATTATTGGAGAGTCAGAACAATTAGCACCAGTGGTCTAGTGGTAGAATAGTACCCTGCCACGGTACAGACCCGGGTTCGATTCCCGGCTGGTGCAGTCTTGAGCTGTGAGTACAACTGTGCTCTTTTTTTTATTTTTTTGTTATTATTTTTTTCCCGTTTAATAAATAAGTATTTGCATAGCCACTGAGAAGAAGTACAGACAAAAATGAGCACATCTCAAAGATTTTAACCCAATATTTGGAAGATTTACAGCACTCTGTTCTTCTAACTCCACAAACAAAGCATAGCTTCATGGATCATGAGAAAGTGAAAAAGGGTAACACTGGTGGAATTATTTGTGTCCACTCAAACAGAAAAACAAAAGAGAGAGATTCAGAAGTTTCCTCTGTTGGAGGCCAAAACTTGTACTCAAATATCCACAAGTCTTCACTGCAATGCTGAAATCTTTTATCGTCAACAACCGGTATCCGGTGTTTCTATACTCACTGAAAAGATATCTACACAATCCTTTTCTGTTAGACTACCTCCAAATCCTACAAACATTTTAATGGAAACATAAAATCTAAGCAAACAACAGCTGGTGATACACAGAGTCAGCGTAGCAAACCAACAACGTGGACGAAAATGGTCAATTTGTACATCATAATGACCGCAGCCTCCAAACAGAAGGAGAAGAAGAAAAGCAAAACAGAAGTCTTGACCAGAAGTTGGATAGTCACTAGAATCTACAGTTATGCTCACTGTCCTCAGTTAATCTATGTTTCACAAATCCGTCAATGAGCCAGAGGAGGAAAATCAGCATCGTCTTTGAGATGATATTGCTGCAACAAAGCCCTAAAACCCAAACGATGAGGCATTAATACAGCACCCTTCTACCAAACAAAAAAAAATTATGACGAGCCCTTAAATTATCATTCTTTCGATTGAATATGAAAATTTATAGATTCTAGGAAAGTCTGTACCTATCTTGCTCATTTTCTAAAATCGACTCAGGGTCATCGGCCACTGATGGGACAGGGCTTGTAGCTGAGGCCCCAGAGTATGGCGTGCATAAATCTGATGTGAAAAAAGGCCCTTCCAGATAATGAAGGCCCTGAGACCCAAAATCAGTTTTCAGTGATGCACGGGAGGAACCATTGGCATTGGAAGATCCCCATACGGAAGGGTAAGAGTGGTGAGCATCTAGTGGCATAGGCTTCCCATTAACAAGATGTGGGTACTCTGCCTCTGAAAGATCATGGCCACGTTCAGACAGATTCTTCTCCTGCAAAGTTGTAGGCAAACCATTTTCATGGGCTTGTTTATGCAACTGACCATGATTTGCTAGTGCCTGAGTCCTTCCTCTTCCCAAGGACAACCTATCCACCCTACTTGATTGATAACTCTGCAAAATCATACGCAAAACTATGAGACCTGAAGTCTACAAGAAAAATAGATGGCATGCCAACAAATGATAATGCCACAAAACCTAATAGTCACACGGAAATACCATGTTGGGAATGTATGTTCCTGTTCCTCGTCGTTTCTTCTTTTCTTCAAGATTGGTAGCAACTCTAAATGGTGCCCCTGGGTTAACACAATAGAACTGTGTTCCAAGAACATGGTTGCCGTTCATTTGAGAATGACCATTCCGCTTCAACTGTAGGGATTGTCGAACAGTTTCCCAGCGATTCTTGTCCTCTGACTGAGGAAACATGGAAGGACAGGGTGGTATAGGCGCAGATATGGCATACATATGGCAATACTGACTATATGCCAAACTTTCTAAGTGGCCATTGTGATCCCCTCTGAGGCCCAACAAGGATTTCCAAGATTGGGAATTTCCAGGAATCCCAGAAAAGTCTTTTCCTCCAAGAGTAGGTGACAGGTTCTCTGAAACACTATCAGCAGGAATGGGGATTGTTGAAGCGGATGAAGCTATTTCCTCATGCTTAGTACATGAACAGACTGAAATACTAACAAAATGGTTCTGTTTAGGTTCTGGCCTGACAGTACAACTCATTTCATCATCAGCACCAAAATTTGTAAGCATTTCTCCAGAGGAGACACCATTTTTAATTTTTCCATTTTCTCCAGATAAGCCTGGGAGATGGAATTGAGGAGCATGATCAGATTTTTCGGAAAATAACGTATCATTATCAGAGCCACCAGTAGATTTCAGACGTATATCGTCTTCAGAGCATGTATCAGAGTGCGATGACAGTGATAATGAGTTATCAGAACTTCTAGCACCAGATGCTAATTCAGAATTTTGCACATCACTCCAATATTCACTTCCATGTCTATCCAAAGTATTTGCAAAGAATGTTTTGAGCTCATCAGCTATTCTCTCTCTGGGTAGCAAAAGAATTCGCCCAAGCTTGCGAGCTCCATATTTGAAGGCACTCCTTATTCGAAAGAAATTACCTGCAAAAAACCCACGGTATAACCACTGGCATGAGATAACACAGACATACAAAGTGCCCATTTAAATGGACTCCAAACAAAAACAAAAAGGCCCCAAACAAGGTGCAATTAATTACACCATGCAGAATCCCCTTATCTTTTTAGCAGATGATAAACAACTTTTAGTTTACAGAACAACACAGAACAAACATTCCCTCGTAAGTTAGCACAACAAAAGAACCTAAGGTGGCTATGTGTTCAACTACAGTGTTGCAGGAGGTGTTGCTAGCAATGGAGGGGTCAGTGTCTAGCTAACAATGAAGTGTCAGTGGTGCTAATTCTATTTGTGGTCTTATTGAAGCAATGACAGCCATGCCACAAGCAGTAGGAAAACAGAGTTTATATTAAAACTACTTGGCTTTGACTTTCCTGAAAATTTTACTCTTTCAATATAAGGAAAAGGAAAATCCACATCCAAGGTCAGGTATATTAGTGAATACAATAATTCTTTCTTCCTTTATGCCAGACCATTAATTAAAACAGAAAACGAGAAAGCTCCAAACCTCTATTGACACTGCGCCCAAGGTTATTATTTTCCTTCAATGGATCAACTATATTAAGATGCTTCTGGGGAAAAGGACGTGAATTCATCTCAGGCTTTCTCGATGGGACAGAGAACCTATCCACACAATCTTTGAGAAATTCATCACTAAGCAATAATTCACTGCTCCCATTTTCAGGTGGCTTAGCTGCATAAAAAGAGAGAAGCAAAAGACAAAAAAAATGAATCCAGAAAACCAATCTATTATAACATCAAAAACAGGTCCCTTAGAACTGATGCAGTAAGTATCTCACCAACAATATTGGGAAGGGAAGATTTGCAGACTGGTCCATTTAAACTAATACAATAATTCTCCCAGTCAAACTTGCTGAAGTAATCCAAAAACCTGTAGAGAACCTACAGAAAATGCAAGCATATTCAATGACTCATGAATGCATACAACACCATGATTTTTGCACTCATGGAGACACTGTGTTCACACTGCAAGATTAAAATTGAGGATGCACAAGTGAAATTCGCGATGTTTAAGTTCTATAAATCTTACCGCCAAAGGCCCGTTTAAGGAAGAGTGAAATAGATGGAAGATGTACAGAATCAGTGTTTCCAAAGCATACGTTGAAATCAAACCATGATGAGCACCAAGAATACGACTCTCATAATAGCACCAAGCTTTGATCAGAATAATGCTGCGTTTGAAGAGGTGAGTTTTTCCAACAAGCCGATCAACCTGCACAATAAGTGGTATTGCAAATGTCAACTTCTGAAAATCAAAACTTGACCAAAACCGTATTTCACAGCATTTATAAACTTTGATCCATTATTTGACAAGAGAGCAGAAAACTACACTGGAGTCATGGTGCTTGAAGACATAAATTAATTAAGACTTGTCTTCCTAAAATAAATGCAAAAGACAAATTCATGGACTCAATGCTGCAACTATAGTACAAACAAATCAACCCATCCAGAATGCTTATGAAGTCAAGATTCATACCTCTTCAAGAAAGCATAGCGTACAAAGTCCTCCTAATTGATTGAAGGAAATATCTACCACTGTGTTCTGTACAATTAATTTTATAAGCTTAACCTGCCAGCAAAAACCCAAAATCAACCAGAAGAGGAGGAACGAAGGAAGTGACTAGAATACTCTTTCTGCAAAAAAAATTAATCCTTCTCCTTTAGTCTAATGAGAACTGCAATAAAAATAAGGCATCAATGTGACGAGAACCTCAGCATCAATGCAATGGACATCCTTCACTTCGTACAGAGCGTCGTCATTCAGCTCTTCTCTTCTTAGAACAGCATGAACGTCCGAGACCAAAGCATCCTCAACGGCAGGACTGCTAATGGTAGTCAGGTCAATATCCCCATCAGGGAGATACGTCTTTAAAGGAACTGACCCATATGGGAAAACCTGTAAGAAAGAACAAATCAGTAAAAGGCTCTTCTTCAATTAGGATCCACTTCATTGAAAATTAAGTGTAAATCCTATGAGTTAGTTAATGGTGCCTGCACAGGATTTTATGAAAACTAATTGCAGAATGTGATCACAATCGCGCAGACAGATACCAATCTTGACTTAATGGGCGATGCTTAATCTGAGAAAAGTTAGAACTGTGATAACATTTCCATCAATTATTAAAACCTCCACTAAACCCTTTAAATTAAGCTTTACACATCAGAACCACAACCAGAACTGTCACAATCCCATCACAAACATCACGTTTTTTACTGACCCAGGACCTCCCTACCACATCAATGAACACCTGTGCTCATGTTGGACATGACAACCAATCAAACAGTAAAACTCCAGCTAGCCTCACACAAAAATGAAAATCTACTTCAGCAACCTAATCATCATGATAAGAATCAACTTAAACGTTGATCACATTGCTGAGAAATTTACTATGCACTGAACTCATACTCATCGTCCACCTATTCTTGCATTACAATTCATAATAACCGATCAACTACATAAACTCAAAATGTGTCCATTCCAACACTAAGAATTCTAATCATCATAATTAGAATTTACTTTTGAGTTGATGGATTAAAATAAATGACCTTATAAAGGCATAAACTCGTAAAACACCTAATAGTGCTTCATACTTCTAATCACGTATCATACACAAACACAAAATTTGTCTCCGTCTCTCCACTATGAATACTCTGTCTAACCTCCATTGTCAAATTATTAGAACAACTTCACTAACTAGAATATCCAAACACAAACACTTTCATTAACATCACTATCCTATACATGTCAAGATCCTGATAGCGACTAATATAACTCAATTTTCACATTCAAAGGGTTATCATATAGTTTGTGGTTTTTTCTGTATTTAGAGAAAGGGGGGGGGGGGGTGGGCTGTTGGTGTTATAGTTTGGAAACCAGTGGCAGAACGCAATCACAATTGAAAAGCTGTGATTTATCTCAACAAAAAACCCTTCCAAATCAAGCTTCAGAAATGAGATCAAAATCAAAACTGAACAGACCCTTTAAAACTACTCAGCATCCAGGTTTCTACCGATCCCAGAATCACCCCGCCACAAATTGTCCACAAACTTACTCTGCAAAGAGCTCATACTCATAACCACCTAATCTTCCTTCATACTGTAACATCACTAATCAACAACATAAAACACACAAAAATTTCTTACACTAACCTCCACGATCCAATTCTTAAGAAACAATATATCACCAACAGCCTCTTAACTAACTACAATATCCATACACAAACACATTTTATAACATCACTATTACATACACTTCCATATCCTAAATTTTCACTAGTATAATGTAACTTACACAGTGCAAAAGCATTCAATAAATAAACCTATACCCCATAGCAAAAAAAAAAAAAAAAACCACAATAAATTAAGGTAAAATAACTACATTAACACCCCTGATAATCAAAATAGACCACATTGACCCCAAAAAAACAAATTTTAACAGAAACCCACATCACAAAACCACTTAAAAACATTAAAATAATTTACAAAAAGAGAAAATAAACAAGAGAAAAAGATTGTTCAAAACATAACCTCAGATCCAAGAGAGGATTTAATGAGTCCTTGAACATAATCAATAACTTGTTTCCTCTTGAAATTGGATTCTACAGTTGGGTGTATTCTATGAACAATCTCTCTTGTAACTTCCTCTGCTCTCTCCCAATTCTCTTCACCAATTGACCCAGGATCCGGATTCGAAGAAGAAGGAGAAAGCGGGTCTTGACCCGAACCCAGAAGACGATGCTGATGATCATGATCATGATGGTGATGGTGATGATGATGATGGCCGTTTTCAGTAGGAAAGTCACAAACTTGAAGATCACCCATTGTTTAAAACTGAATTTCTAACAAAACCCACTATTTTGTTTCGTGAAAGAAGAGATTTTCTTCTTGCTTGACAGGATCATATCATATCATTTGCTGCTGTTTTTTTTTATATTTATTTCTAATTTTAAAAAGGGAGAGAAAAAAGGGGAGTCTTTTTTTCTATTTTGTTTTTTGGGTTCTGAAATTGGATTATTAAAATATTGCAGATGATTGTGATGATGATTAAAAGGAACATTAAAAAAAAAAGGGTTTGTTTGATCTGTCGTTTCTCTTGAAAAATTAAAAACGCAGAAACAGAAAAAGAAAAAAGAAAAAAAGGATTTTCTCTCTTTAATGCTTTTGGTTTGATTTATTGATGATTCACAGGTTGTTTGTTTCTCTGTCTGTCTGGCGAGACGCGACGGAATGGAAATGGAAATAATATGGTAAATTATAAATTAGTTCTTTTAGTTTTGATGAACTAATTAATTAGTCCCTTCTATTTGATAACTTAATTATTTAGCTCCTTTTGTTAATTTTATATTCTTGTCCGGTTTTTTTTTTCTTGTTTAAAAAAATAATAAAAATAAAAATATATTGATGTGAAAAGAAGACATTTATAAAAATAAATAATATTAAATTAAGTGTAATTAACACTCGTTTAAGGATTAAAGAATACTTTCTAAAACAAAAGGGATTAACTAGTTCATTTCTAGAAATTTTAAAAGGACTGATTTAAATTTATCGTATAACAATAAAGACAAAAATATAGTACATGATCTATAAAATAAAAATAAAAATAAAATATACGGATTTGGGAAAAAAGATTGTTTTGTTTTGTATTTACTCTAAACCGTATTTGTTTGTTTGTTGGTTTGACAAATTATTAACTCAAGAGAGATATAATTTTTACATTTAAATGAAAATATAATTTTCTTTTATTATTACCGGTGAAGGTATTCTAGAATTAATTTTTATATATTGAGATTAATTTTTTTTATTAGAGTTTTTAGTTATATTATTATTGATATCTAGATTTGATGTGATTATAAATTTGTTCTTTTGTAATTTTTATGTGAATTCGAATCGAATCAATATTGATTTATTTTGATATCTTTATGTTGTTTTTTTTTTGAATTTTTATAAATTAATAGAATTGGATTTTTTTTATAATAGAAACTAAACTAATTAATTCACGAATTTTATTTTTCTATCTATATCTGTTTACTTGTTTTTTTATTAAAAATACTCACAAAAGAGTAAACAATATGCGGTGGGTATAAAAACTATATTATAAAAGACAAATTAGTAAGAAATGTTGTGATAATGGTCTTACTACGACCTTTAATTTTCTTTTTTCTTTTTTCTTTTTTTTAAAAAAAAGACAATCACTTGGCAATATTCTCAAAATAAAACAAAACAAGACAGAACTTGTCAACATCGACAAAGAATTGGTCATCTTCTGGACAAGAAACAAAGTTTGAATGCCACGTAGTATACTATTTGCTCTTCTTGGCAAACTTGATCTTCCTGTGACTGTGACCTTGAATGACCCATGGGTTCTACGATTTCTTTTCGAAGATATATATATTTTTATTATTTTTTTTTCTGTAAATCAATATATTCATCATAAAATCCTAAAGATGTATAAAGATACTTGCATAGGATTGGGATAATTGCATTATAAATATATAATATTTTTTTCAATTGAATTTATGAATTTTAATTTTTTTATTTGAGTATATTATTTTTTCAAAACTATCAATTAGATATTTCTATCTAATTTTTATTAATTGTTCCGGTGTGCCATGACAAGTGATGTGTCCTAAAATGTTAAATTATGATTATGATTATGATTTTTCTTTCTTGAAAGAAACAAGGAAGAAGTTTAAGGAGGTTCTTTTTTTTTTCAAGAAATAAAGAGTAAAATCATAATTTAGTATTTTAAGATAATGAATACTCAACGAAGAAATTAATGGAAGTTGAACGTGAGTACTTTATTAATATTTTTGAAAAAAATAATATATTTAAACAAAAAAAATTAAATTTAAATACTTAATTGAAAAATAAATAAATATTGACGTGCTTATAGTATCTCCATATGGTTATAAGCTTAAGAAAAAGTCAAATTGAAATTCAATTAAAAAGTAGAAAAGAGATGATTAGCTGAATAATTGTCGAGGCAATTAATATTATGTAAGTCAAATAATTTTGATAACTTTTCTTTCTTTTTCAAACCTAAGAAAATAGAAGGTCTTTTTCCTTCCAATTGTTTCTTTTATCGGTTACTCTTGCATACCAAGCAAAAAGGAAAGATCACCGGTTGATTTTTTTTTTCATTTTTTTTATTTCTTGTGAAAGTTAAACAACGTTTTGGGATTAAATATATGAACATATCATAGCATGAAACTGAATTTTTTTTTTTAATCTTCTTCGTAAGAATAAAATGGTTTACGATATTTAATAATAAAAAATTAGAAAAAACATTTGATAAAATGGTTTACGATTTTTTTTATCTTTAAAGTAATTATTGAGGAGAAAAGGAGGAACTTTTTCTTTTTGGTTCTGTCCAAATTAAGCTCTCCGATGATCATGTAAAGCCCAATGTGGACATGTGTTTAAAATTATCTACGGTGATGTTTGTCATGCATCATTCTATAAAGCATCACTATAAATACTTTTGGTTGTATAGCCTCTAAAACCGATAAATAAAAAATATATACATATTTGTTTTCACAAATTATGATGCAGCTGGTTACAATCGAGTTTATATAGAAAAGAAAAAATATAATTCACAAAAACGGAAGGTAGTCTAATTGTTTAAATAAATGATTTCAGATTGGAGTAATTATGTATATAAAAAGAAATTTTAATAACTACATTTGTTTTATATATATAACAAAACAATAAGTAGGGATGTCAATGGGGTGGGGATGGTCATCCCTGCCCCGACCTCTTAAAAAATTCCTCATCCCCATCTCGTGCCTCGAACATGGTAGAATTTGTCATCCCATTCCCGCCCCAAACGAGAACGGGATCCTCGCGGAGCAAACGGAGCCTCGTTTTACCGTCTATGTCCACTCCGTCCTACCCCATTTTGTCACGTTTTGATAGGTTTTATAATGAGCATACACAATTTGTATAATTTTGTTTTCCAAAGAAGAGATCAAATCATTGGAACTCAAAGAGAAACAATGAAAAAACATGTTTCAGCAATCTATAAGTCACTTTTGACAGCCCAAAACAGGGCGGGGTGGGCAAATCTCATCCCCGCCCCATCCTCGTCCAAAAAAATTGCGAGACAGGACGCCCCGCCCCGTTTCCCAATCAATGCAGGGAATCCGTGCATTGACCGAGGCGGGATAACTTCGGATTGGGTCATTTTATCATTCTTAACAACAAAAGATTAGGCTGAGTTTTTGAACTTAAATGCTTTCAAGATATATCAACAAGAGATTAGTCTGAGTAATATCACTCTGATTTTTAAAGACACTATTGTAAAAGAAAAGGAAAGCTTGTCCCCACCTTCACGACGAAAAAGAAAGCTTTTATTAGCATTATTATTATTTAGGGACCATTGTGTTAAAGGAGTGTCTTTTGGTGCATCAATCAAAACTAAAACGTGATTGGCATTGTACTTAAATTTGCTCTGGTTTGCATTATGAAATTTGGAACCTTATCCAGAAGATCACAACATGCCTCTTTACGAGGACAAAGATCAAGATAATATTTTAAATTAGTCCTTTTAGTTTTTAAAACGAATTAAAAATCTCTGATTTTTTAGTTTCTTTGCAACTTAATCCTTTTTTCTATTTGCTTTGTTTTAAGAAAAATAAAAAAGAAAACTAAGTAAAAAAATATGAAAGACGGGATGAAAATTTTTTTTTTAAAATAAAATAATATTAAATTAATTATGATCAATATTGATTAAGAGATTAATTAGTTTGTTTTTGAAACAGAAAGAGTTATTCAATTTATTTTTCAAAACTGAAGGAATTAATTTATAGTTTACTCCAAAGATTCATGAAAAGCACCTGAAATATTGAGGAAACAAAACAACAACACTACTTATATAAGTAATCGCACATGGTAATTGTAATTATAATGTTTATCTTAACCAAAATGATTTCGAAGTGTCATCAAATCATAGGATTGATATGACCCTGGCATTGTGCATGCATGCAAGTTGTCATCTTTTAATTTTGAGAAATTATTTAATTGATTTTTTAATTAATTATTTAGTTCTTTGTTCATTATAGTTTTTTTTATTTATTTATTTTTTTAAAAAGTAGAAAAGTATAAAATAAATAGATTTTATGAAAAAATAAGAAAAGAATAATTTTTTAAGAATAATATAATATATTAAAACAAACACGATTAACATTGATTAATAGATTAAATGATTATTTTTTTAGAAATTATTTAATTCGTTTTTCAAAACTAAAGAGATTATAACTCACTTGAATATTCTCACTAGACTTGCTTTCTTTCTTTCTTGGTGTTTTAATAATATTAGAGTTTGTCTACCCTGATAATCTAGAGTTTGTATGTTATAAAGAACCCTGAAAGGAGTTTTTGTTATTCATAATCTATTCATGCATTAACAAGATACTATTCACTTGATATTTTTATGATTTTAAATTAATGATATTTTGTTATTTGAAATATTTTTTCAAATATTTATTCTTCCCACGACACATTTCACCCCCTTTTTTATTGTAAATTGAATGATTATTATTTTTTATTAATTTTGAGGTTTTTTTCAGGTATTTTATACATAAAGTTATGCTCATGTTGTTCTTTCGTCCCTTATTTTTTGTAACAATTTTTATTTTGATTCATAACTTTATTTGTATTGTAATCTAGTCTTTAACGGCCAAGAGGAGAGAGAAACATAGAGGAAAGAGAGAAATCTATATATGGATTTTTTAATGAATTTTTAAAATATTATTTATTTGCTATTTAAAAAATTAATATAGTTTATATAATTATTTTTAAAATTTTAAATGATAGTAGCATGG